AAACAGCAGCAAGGTGGAAGTCAGTCTGCTGTGGAGAATTCCTGTTGCCTCTGGCTGCAGACTCAGTGCAGTTTGTGCTGCAGAAGATCTAAATCTGGCAAGTTAATTTCCGAGCAAATGATGTATTTTTGTGTTTTGCTCCTACCCACTCCTTGCAAGTGAAGGTTGTGGAGTCATTTTGCTTTTAGTCTGTTTAGATCAGTCTGTGACAGGTTAGTTATTGCCTTATGCCAGTAGAAAGGTGGGTGTGAGAGTGAGTTTTTTGTGGTTTTGGGGAAAGTGGTGGTTTTGTGAGTTTTCTGCATTTTACTCCATCACTGGTCATAACTGCATGGCTGCTGGCCTTGTGTTTTCCCTGCTGGAGCTTCTGGGAATTTTTCATCAGATGTTTTTAAAGAACATTCATAGGCATCATTGGAATTCAAATATTCAATATTTGCTGAGGATAAGAATGTTTTTTCCCTTTTCCCACAGACAGGTTTTTGACACTAATCAGCTGCATGATGGGGCTCTGGCCTCAGGCATGGATTGTATCAGAAGCTGAATTAGCAGAGAAATTAGTCTACCAAAATAAAATCCCACCCAAAACCCCACCACCACAATTTAGAGATAATTTTAAGCACTAATGATAAAGAATTTTGGATTTACGAGAAGTATTTTAGTTAACTGGGACTCAACAATTTTAGTATTTTAGGACCCAACTTTTCTGATGTCCCTGGGCGCTGGAAAATGAGCAAAACGAACAGGGAGGTGTGACTCCCACAGAAAGAATACAGTGTCAAAAGTTCAGGCACAAAAGTCGAGATTAAAAGTTTTTAGATAACCAAACTCTTATATCAACCACTTTGTTCCTACGAATGACTTGAGGAAAATTCTTTAAAAGTTCTTTAATTTATTTGTGTATATTTTTTTTGTCAGTTTTAGATGGAGCCTCGTTTGAGACCTATTGCTGTCAGTCATTGCTGGCAGGCAGCAATTCCAGTTCTCACTAAAGCATAAAGCAACAGGGAGGAGTTTCCCTGTGTTTTTGGGAAGTTCGAGGTGGCATGTGCCCAGGATCCCTGTAGATGGAGCTCGCTGCATCTCTTTTGGGCAAAACCCCAGGTCAGCTGGACAGAAGATGGTGAAAATCTGGTACAGAATGTCTTCAGTGAGTTGTTTAATAGCAAGTAATGTCTAAACCATATTGCAGCCAGGGTACCTGTGTACTTGTAACTTAATCTTTTGATCTCTGTAGTTTGCTTTAAGGCTTCTCTTGCTTTCTACACAGGAGGTTATAAAAGATTGGACAGTTCTGTGTCGCTTAACAGTTTATATCTTAGCTCTGAATATGCACAACTTTACCCCAGTTGTGCAAAAGAAGGTAAGATTATTTTTTTATGGAGGAAATCTTTGGCATGCTATTTTTGGCGTGGTGGAGAGGCTTTAAAGGGAATTGGTGTTCCACAGGCAGCTGTTAGCCAAAATATTTCTTTGGAAACTTTGCTTTCACCTGTCTCTGTTGGGATTTGACTCAGTAGGTAATGAAAATCTGATTATTTTTGCAGAACAGACAAAACAAAAATGGGGCTTTCACTGATGAAGTGTGGAATAGCATGTCAGGGTTGACTCTGGAACACAAGTCACGGTGATTCAATCCCCAGTGCTGCTGCTGAAGTTGAGTACAGCCACCCTGGCCATTGGAAGGGGATCCTAGCAAAATAAAACAGCTGTTCTCCTCTCAGGGGACAGAGGGAAAGCAGCAGAGGTATTCACAGACCCAGCCTCCACTACGGCTCAGTTTAACATCACTGAGGCCAAATTACTGGCAGAACTGCAAAATGTTTGGGCACCAGAAGGGCCCTGGTGTTGGATAGGGATGATTTCATTGTGAATTTCAAACAAGTGTTAGAGGGAGTGATATTTCCTAGGATGCTGGTGACTCGCAGTTAGATGCATCTGTTTCATGTTCTGTGAGCTTTCCACTTCCCCTGCTTCCTAGGAAACCTTTTTATTCCTGTTCTCTGAATAAATTACAAAAAATGTAAGTGACTAATCAGAGGAATACTTGAGTTTTTTTATAAAGTTACATGCAAAACCCCCAAATAATTTTGAAAGTTGAGGCTAGACAAGAACATCTCGCCTTTTGTTTATCCTAACTGCTGACATCCTGGTAGCTTCTGGGAAGCAATAGTTTCCCTTTTTTAGAAACAGGATGGAGGGATAGGTCACTGGATTTATCTGAGGGTTGGAAACTAAGTGACCTTAATGGAAGATGCTTTACCATCAGCCACAAACCTGCTGCTGTTTAGGAGCCAGGTCTCCTGCTTCAGCCTGTTCCTCAAGGTTGGTGGTCCAAAGGCTAAGGCCGAGGGAGGAGCTGAGTCCCAGCCTCCCTGCATTCCTCCAGCTGATCCTCTCCTTTGATATGTGGGAGTGTGGGTTAGGTTTCAGGTTGCAGAAAGGACATCGCCATACACTGACCATAAACACAAGCTGGAGAAGTCAGAACTGACATTGAACTGTAGCATAAAACCTGTGTGAGTGGGGGACGCCAGGACCTGGTGCAGCTTTTCCCCTGTATAAACTTGCTTATTGTATTTGGAATGATGGTGAAGTGTTAGCACTGAGTTGTGCTTGTGGGACCAAGGTTGTTTTCTGGTGGTAGTGCTTGAGCACCCGTGTTTGAAACCTCTGCCTTGCTCTGTGTCCAACACAGTCTGCCAGCAGCCTCAGGGAGCTCAGGGACTCTGTGAGTGCGCAGATTAGTTTGCTCCTCCAAGTCAGTGCTAAGCTGCAGAGGGGGACAGTCTGGGGAAACTTGGAGAGCTCCTGGCTGTTCCGGGCTGTAGGGCTGTGACCATTTCAGTGCTGTTAAACAGACGTCTCTCCCCAGGAGGAAGAGCCCTGTACTCTGCTGTGTTTGACTGGCGAGCCCACATGCGGCACAGGGATCATCTCCTGAGCCTGCTTTCATCCATTTATCTCCTGGGTTGGTCTGTAGAAGTAATTTGTGTTACTTCACCCTCAAAGTGATGAAACTTAAGTTTGGGATTTGGCTGTCTGTCTGCAGAGGAGGAGGGGAGCAGAGGGAAGAGACATTTCTCTGTGCAAGCCAAGAGCTCTGTGGGAAGGTCCAAGCTAATGCTCCCCACTGGCTGCCTTGGCTCCGACTCGAGCCAAGCCCTTGCAGCAGACTAGACACAAAAGAAAATACACGGAGTCTAAATTGACTGGTATGAAGAGGATGTGCCAGAGTATTCCACAGCTCTTCCTTTTCTGCTTCTCTTTGATAATGGTCAATTTGCCTAAAAACCTGGATTATTATTTTTTTTTTTACCTGTTTATGCATATTTCAGGCTGCCCTGTGTCAGACCTGTGAACTTGTTCTAAAGCTTGCTAAATGCTATTGAAAGATTCCCCATCCCCTAGGTGTGACAGCATAGACCTAGAACTGGCTTCATATCCATTGGAGGGGACTGGGAGGAGAGGGAAACATGTTTGAATTCCAGTTTGCACCCAGTAGCACTGCCCACCTGTTTGTGATCTCTCTCAGTGGGAATTTCGGTGTTGGAGGCTTGCTGGCTTGTCTGCATCCTAAAAATTTATTGCCAGTGTTTGGGAGTAAACAAACACAGGATGTCTTCTGTGCTGGTGAGGTCCTTGTTGCTCTAGAAGTAGTGAGGGAAATGGAATAGGTCACTTGGAGAGGGATCACTGCCTGACCCCTGCTGTGTCTTCAGCTAAGAGCAGCTTCTTGCCCAGCAGTGTCCCGCTGCTGAGTGTGAGGGAAGCCTGTGTTCTCCCTGTCCCTTCACCCAGCCCTGCTCTATACTGCCTGGTTTCCTATAATCCTTAAAGCACAGGTTCCCAGCCCTCTCTTCCCTCCATCTTGTTTTGTTCTTTAATTCATCTCTGCCCAGACCTGCTGCTCTGCTTCTCCCAGCACTGTCGCTGACTCTCCACATCTCAAGCTGGGCACAGATTCCCTGACTACAGCATGCCATGGCCAAACACTGGACCGGGGGGAACACCAGGCACCCACCAAACCCCTCACCCATACCTGGGATCAGTCTCACATTGATAAAGCTGTGACCTGTTTCCAAACAGAAAGGTGAAATCCTGCAGGTTATTCCTTGCTCTGCTCTACATGTGGTTTATTTACTTGGGTATTTCAAACACAGAAGTGACACAGCGTTGTCAGAGTTACAAAATTACTTTTTTTATTAACCTACCCTATCGTAGAGCATGGATTTTCTTGTCAAATAATGCAAGAAGCAAGAGAAAACTCTAGCTTTATCCACATGGAGCCTACAAATCCATATCGCTTCTCTGTGCTATTGAGCATATGAGTTCTTAGAAACGCAGCTGCCGGTAGTTTAGCTTGAATACAGTCATTCTAAAACAAGCTAGAAATAAATAAAATACTTACATTTCAAGTACGAAACCTTGCAGTTGAATTCAGTATGAGGAAATCAGTTTATTCCTTTTCATGTTACCAACTACTGTACAGGTACTTGGGTTGGCAAAGTCTGCAGCTGCAGAACAGAAGAATGTTTTATGTACATGACTTAATTGAATCATGTGTTTAGTCTTCCCTTTAGGCTATCATGTGAAGCTGTTTAATGTCAGGCAGAAAGAAGATTTTTATGGATGCATTTAATAAGACATGAACTCACTACCGCTGCTGGCCCCCAATTTTTGCCTGATGTCTTTCTGGTGGGGGAAAAAAAAGTGGCACCTTAATTATGTCTCACAAATAATGACACCTACCAGCTTTCAATTAGGTTATTAGCAGGTTGATGTTACTTTCAAATCGTATTTAATTGAGCGTGAGTGACTTTACCAATGCTTCTCTACAGCTCTAGGAGACGGGACGTTGACCTCTCATGGGGATCCTGGCTTGGTTGTTTCGGCGGCTTGCCGGCGGCCTCCGGTACGCGGGGCTCTGCCCTGGCTGAACCAGCATGGACTGCTGGCCCGAGTTCCTCTGAGACTGGAAGATGCTTTGCTCCATTGCGCTCCTCTCCGAACAGGTGAAAGTCAACCCAACGCCCACATCGCTCTTCATGGTTCTGGAGGTACCATCAGATGAGCCGTCGAAACACCTGCCCAGGGCGATTTCCTTGGCGATCCTTGGGTCTTGGTCGGTGACAGTGTAGATGCCGTAGTTGTGTCCCAGCGGGTCAAGAGGCGCCAGCATGGTGTATTCACTGGTGTCATTGTTGGTGGCCATGGGCAGGTGGTTCACCAGGTACTCGTGGAGCATGCTGTTGACACTCACTCGGCGGCAGCTGCCCTGTGGCACCACCTTGACGAGCGTGCGGTCCACACGGTCTTGATCAAAGAGCATTCCACTGCACTTGAACTCCACACAGGCTGCCGACACATCCCGCTGCTGGGGGTCGCGGGTGCTGCGGACATCCCTGATCCCATAGAGCCTGCCAATGGTGCGCGGGTGCGTCCCACCCATGTTACGAGACCTTACATTCACCTCTTGGGGTCCGTTTATTTTCACTTTAATGTAGCAGGCCCTGAATTCCATGGGCTTGGGCCACCACGCCAGGTAGTCGTCGGTCCAGCTCATGAGGTCATCTTCACTGAAGGGAACGGTGTTGAAGTCATACCGGTCTCCCTCTATCCTGTAAAACCTGAAGTGCGCAGCACTGTGAGGAGCTTCCTCACATTCACTAAGGTTTTCATAGGCATAAATAGGCCCATTGTTCTCTTCTGGGGAATTGGGGCTTGGCTTGGCCATGTTAATGCTGAATGCTGTTTTCTTAGTGTTGGAGTCCTCGTGGTCTGTCCTCCTGTAGTTGAGCTTGTTGAGGTACGGCTGTGGGACCCCAATAGCAGCAGGGTTGAGTTTGGGAGCAGAGGGCACAGCTTCAAGCTCTTCGCCCCCCATGCTTGCCAAGATATAAGCTCCATAGGCCTCAGGGTTTTGCTCGTCGCAGAAGGCGGGCACACAAGCACCATTGGGACCAGTGACTACACTGTCAAAACGGCCCCACGCTCTGGGGTTGGAGGAGAACCCTGGTTCTGGCTCCATATTTATAATAGAAATCACAACCCCTTGGATCTGCTCACTTTGCAGGAATCTCTCACTTCTGTAGGCTCGGACTTTGACGTAGCACCGTCTGCTCTCTGGGACATCCAGGTTAAAAAGCCGCCTTTCTTTGATCTCCATGTTCCCAACCAAAAAAGTTCTCTCCTCCCTTTTGCGCCGTCTGCTTTTCTCAATGTTGAAGTCCCCTTCTTCCTCCCACAACCCTGTCTCTGGGTTCAGGGACCAAAGCTTCATCTCTTGCAGGTGCTCTGACATCTTGACCTGAGCGGCATCCAAATGAACCTTCACATCTTCTGCATTAAGGGACTCGGTGCCCCGTTCATCAGTGAAGTCCACAGAAAACATGCCATATGTGCGGAGCGGAAATACATCTCCTTCCTCGTCTACAAAGTTCAGGTCACTTTGTGTCACAGGGGCTGTGGAGATGTTTCTTGGGTCCAGAAACGTCACGCTGGCTTTCACTTTGCCTCTGTAGGCCTCTCCATTTTTCCTATAAAATGCGTTGGGAGGAATTTCTAATTCAGCAATTGGGTCATCTTCTTCCATTTCTCCCAAAGAGATCACGTTGGTTTCAGCGGATTCCAGCGTAACGGGAGGTTTCTTTCTTAGTAGCTTGATGTCATGAAACACAGCACCTCCGTTTTCCTTGAAGGGCAGAACTTTTGTTGTGTTCACAAACTTCTGCAGCCGATCCACAAAAGTTAAAACCAGTCTCTCCATATCTGCTGGGACATGGACGGAGAAGGTTCCCTTGTAGCCAGTCATACTCACTCTCTTGTTCCCCATGTAGATGTGGCCAAACCTCAGTGGCTCTCCATTATCCGCTGCTGTGGCTCTGCCTCGAACCATTATTTTGGTCTCAGTGCATTTTTTGCAGCCACATTCCACGATGACTTTAGTGGGGAGCGTGTACCCGTTGCAGGATATGTCCCTGGTTTCCATTTTGGATACCCCACAGCAGTAGGAGACATTGTCCTTACACCGGAGTCCCTTATCCAGCTTCCCCACACAGGTCTTTGCTGGGCACTTGCCCACATCATAGTAGAAGGAGTCTGTTGATTTTTGGAAGCAGTCGTGAGGAAGTCGGATGAGGTGGCTTTGGGGCTGGGGATCACAGGGTGCCTCTTCTCTTCCTGTTGAATAGGATTTCTTAATGAGCAGCATGAAATTATTGTACAGACATTGTTATATGGTCTGAAACCCTTTGAGCTAAACATTTCTCCTAATAAGAGTGAGGTTTTTGCAGGATTCTGGTTAGCTGAATTCATCTGGCCTGGTTTTAGTGAAGCAGGTAGCTCAGCTTTAGCTTTAGGTCCCTGATTAAGAGCTGTTTGCAGGGGGCATCCCAACTGCTGCTGCCTGGCTTTTTGACTGTGGCCAGAATAAAATGTGTCTTAAAGTTTTAAAAGACCCCTAAACAAACAGAAATATTCCCATATCAGGCAGCAAGTACAGTGAGAAACCAACTGAAAGCAGCAGATTGAGCTTGGCAAGTCATCTGCAGTCCAGAGCTCCGGTTTGTAGAGAGCATCTTGTTCATGACCAGCTCACACAAGCTTGTCTGCAAATGGATGCATGAAACAAACTCAAGTATTTTTCCTTGACTTCTCTTTCCCACATGTATCACAGTTTCTGGTTCCTGCACACCAATGCCTCCCCAGCTGCTTGGAGAGCATCAGGCACATTTTCTCTTACCTATGACATCCAGCTTGGCAACTTGGGACTTGGCCGACCCCCCGGCGCTGCTGGCCTTGCAGAAATACTCTCCTGACTGTTCTCTGTTCAGGTTCTTCAAAATAAGGTTGTTTTTATATTTGTACAAGGAGGGATCCAGCAGTGAGCCATTGTGGTACCTGCCAGGAAGAGTTAAGGGGACAGCGTCTGACGGCCTGGCTAAAGCAGAGCGATGGCCTAATCCTGCATCGTGCCACATGGATTTTGCCAGACCTTCTGCCTCAGTTTCCCTGGTTTTAGGTTGGTTATGTGGCATCACCTAAAAATTATTCTCCTTGCCCTGGCAGTACTGACATGTGGCTGCTGGGCAGCTGGCAGGCGGGCAGAGCTGCCAGTCTTTCTGCTGAGGTTTTTAAACTCTCTTTTTTGGTGTGTTTTTCAGTGAATCCCTCAGCAAATGACATTGCTGTGCCAGGTCTGCACGTCTTAAGGAAGCCATCACTTGCAGCAATCAGTTCTCAGCGTATTCAGCTGGTTTATACCTAAAACCCCACCCTTATGGAGACAGTAAGGAGGCAAAACTGGAAACCATGGAACAGCTAAGACCTTTGGCAGATCAAACTCGAGTTCCTTACCAGAGGTAGCGGTCAGGGGCTGGGCTCCCGCGGGCATCGCAGCAGAACGACACACTCTGTCCCACTCTCCTGGCTTTGTCCTCAGGGCTCCTGAAAATATAGGGTTTGCCTGCAGGACAAGGAAAAGGTCATCTTGTTACTCTTCCCCTCCTAAAATCACAATTTATTTCTGATTACTGCATAAAGCCTCCTCCATCCCCCCTTCTTTAGGGCTACCTGATCGGTGCAGCTGCACTTGGATCGCCAGGTTTCTCCGGGTGCTCTCGGGCACGGTGACAGTCGCTGTTGCGTATTTGGCTTTCTTTATTTTAAGGGTGTTTTTACCATCAGGACAAATCCCTGGGATCCTAAACATGCCTCTGTTATCGGCCATTGTCAGCAGCTTGAGTTTCTTGGCTTGCAGGTAGACCCGGGCATCGTCAGCAGGCGACCCATCCTCGAGAGACACCTTCCCGTGCAGAGTGGCATCCTCACACATGCAGGAATCACAGTCAGCGTTGACACGGCCCATGGGGCAGGTGATGTTGCAGCCTGGAGGAGAGGCAGGCAGGTCAAAAAACAGCCCCACAATGCTCACAGCATGGTCTCGTGTCTGCTTTTAATTTAGATGCAATAAGGCAGATACTGTGTAAGGAATAAATTGTATCCAAAACATATTTTTCCTGATTATCCACAGCTGTGCATTAGAAACACAGGGACGATGTCATTCTGAACCTGACAACTAGTAGAAAGCAGCCACGTGGATATAATTACAGCTAGGAACTGTTATTTACCTTCCCCAAAGGGCTGAATTTCGGGGAAATTTGAATCCAGCTCAGCACTGTGAACTCTTAGCTCAACCCTGGCAAACTTAAAAATCCAAATACCTTAAACTTTCTAGGTTTCTGTTACCAATTCATGCCCAAAAGTCGTGACTGTAGTCTATACCAAAAGCTGTCTCCCCTTATTCAATGGTATCCTGGCTTGGGCAGGTTGTGGGGTAATTGCCAAGTGAGCATTACCCAATGGGTTTAACAATTGGTCTCCCAGTGATTCTGAAACATATGCATTACCTATAGTGATTAGTCCTAAATAATAATCTGTCTCTTCCTAAAGCTCAGGCCATTCCTTTTATAATCACAGGCCATCCCTGTACAGCAACTACCTGATAATTTTTTTCAAAGCTGGAAATAAATGTAAGAAATCAGAGAAAACCTGAAACAAGTGTCCTGCAGAAAATATCGACTGTTTTCAGAATTATTTGTTAAAAGGGGATTATAAGAATAACATAATTGATTACAAGCCCGTTCAGCAGGGGCTGTGGCAATTTGATATTCCCAACACTTCTCCTTCCTGGAGATTGCGTGGAAGCATCTGCCTGCAACTGCTAACTCTGCCCTGAGAGCTGCTGTTATAATGAGATTAATGGGATGTTTTTCTATATTGACAAGATCTTTGTGAGTCCCTGATGATTCCCCATATCTGGATCCCTCTTATCTTGCTATTTGGCTATAAACTCCCTGTGCTCTGTTCTCCAGGCTTCCTTGGGAATCACAGAATTCTGGCAAAGGAGAGAAAGATGGTAAAATGACAGTGAAGGGAGCACAACGCCTTCGTGGTGGTGAGACCAGGACATCCTCCCCTGCCCGTAAGTGAGGTTATAGGAGCACCTGAGCAAACATGTCCAATGCAGAGCCGCCCTTCCTCAGTTGCTTCATTACAGTGCACGCCCCAGAGGCGCTCAGCTAGGCAGGATCTGGTACGCTTCTGCACCCCGGTTTGGCCACACTTTGCTGAGCACTCGCTCCATTTCGACCATGGAGACAAAAACCTTTTTGAATCTTGCACCAGTGGACCTTGAATAACATCAGCGGTGTGTTACTGAGACGCACATTGCACGCACAGCTGCCCCAAAACTGGGCAGTTGTTTTCTTAGCAGCTTCTATATAGCTCAGACTATACATTTGGATATTATGCACCACATGGATTAAACAAACTCAAAGCATTTCAGGGAGCTGAGAAATAAAGCATGAGAAGGCGTCTGAAGGCTTCTGACTTAATTCCCCGCAGGCTACTGAATTCAGGATGATTAAGATAAACTCGAGGGGAGCAAAGTGCAGGCAGCTCATGCTTAGTGTTGAATAACTTTGGCTTAAAGGAAATCAAACACACATTGTCATTTCAATGGTGTCTGAAGGGCAACACTCGCCTGTGTTTCAAATGTGGTTAAATAGGGGGAAAAAAAAGGGTAAAATTTTTGGTATGACCATGTTGAATGTCTTTAACCAAACTTCAACATGTGTTTTCTATAGGGCCAGCGTGTGTCCTGTTGTGAGCACCGCTTTTACTGTGTGCAAACACAGTAAGAAGCGTAAGATGCTACTGAGCAGCCTGAGCACGTCAGGGATCAGCTGATTGGTAAAACACAGAGAGAGTTTGCAAAAGACATTTGAGACTTTAATATGGGGTTAGATTTTTAAAGGGATTTCTTTAACGGGGCTACTAGATGTTATTAATTTAAGCTACTTTGAATGGATGAGATCCACTCCAAGTCTGTGGTTTGGGCTTGTTTTTAAATGACAATGTTCTAATAATGTTTGCAAGGATGAGCTTGTGACTAAAGTTTCTAAAAATGGGGTTTCTTGGAGATGTGTGCTGTGTCATCTCCTGTATCTACCCTTCCACCTAATTTGTAATAAAGCAGGTTGGGTTATTTCCTAGAAAGGCAGACAGGCACAGGGCTGGACTGTTCCTATAGTGATGGCCAAAAACAAAGCATGTGGGTGTAAAAGACCCTTTAAATGAGAGCAGCCATGGGAGCAGCATGTCTGGTTTAGAGTGAATGCTTGGCTTAGATGGGCAAGTTTTTAATGTGTTGGCACATCAGCACCTCCAGTTCAGCACCCCCAGTAGCACATCCACGACCTTATTTAGCAATTTGAGGGATGCAGGAGGAGGTAGGCTTGGAAACATAGTCCCATCCCATGGATAAATGGCCATTTGTGCTCTCCCCTAGGAAAAATTTAATATGCAGCAGATTAAAGTTGGGTCTCAGCAAGATCCTAAGCTCATTTGGGATCAGCTGCTTTAATCTGCAGGGCTGTTGATAATAGGATATGAAGAAGGGAGTGCAGTGGAGGAAAAGCATTATATGGCTCTGCGTAGCACCTCAACAGCAGAGAAAGCAGAAAGTGGAAGAAGAGGGAGAAGCTGAGGCATAGAGCTGTGGCAGGGATGTGGGGAGGCAGGGACAGGGATACCCCATGGCACCGCCGGCAGGAACCTACTGCGTCTGACGTAGGTGAAGGTCGGCTCTCCCCGGCGAGAGCTGCTCCTCGTACCTGCGGGCAGAGGACACTGGGGGTGATTTGGGCAGGGTTTTCCAGCCATGGAGCCAGCCTCAGCATCACTGCCCTGTCATCCACTTCGAGGGGAAAACAATTCTCCTGGTAGTTTTCCTAAAAATAACTCTCAGCAAGTGAAGGGGACCTCTGGGAGTCCAGGGTTTTGGTGCTTGGATTCTTCCCAATGGCTAAGAGAGCTGCTGGGAGCCAGACAAAAGGCTGGGACATGAATCCTTCAGACATGGCATCAGCATGTCCAGCCCTTTCAGTGCCTGATGGAATTTAAACTGCAAGCACTGGGCAGTAAAGATTGAGTGGTTGAGGCATCTCCTAGGAATTAATGAGCAGAGGGGGCTCTGCAGGTCATTAAGGCCCCACAGGCTTTACTTCTAAAGGAATGGTGTCACAAACTGCCCTGGGCATGGGGACAGGCTGGGCAGGGGAAAGGCAGGTCAGAGCATGTGCTGGCCCATCCCTGGGCTCTTCTCACCCTCCCAGCCCCGCATGCCTCCCACAGGAGTTGGGGCTGTGGTCACACGTTGACCTTCCCTTTTCCAGGAGAGGAGCCAACAGCGTGTCAGCGATAGCCAAAACCCTACAGGAGGTTGCAGATGATTAACATTTATTCCATTGCTTAAATCACAGAATCATAGAATGATTCTAACCCTAAATGTCCTCATCTACTCAAATAAGATTGGTTGGTTGTAAATTGTTGGGAAAATTGTCCCAGCAAGGGAAATGCACCCAAGATGGGAATTAACTTACTCTCCAAGCTGAGCATTACCAGTGGGCTGAAGGTTTTCTGTCCTATCTGGACCCTGTTGAGGGTTGGTTTCAGAATCCTTTGTCCTAAGGGTTGATAAATGAAAGAATAAATCAGATGAATACAAAGGATAAAACATACTAATTAGATTCAAAGGACTGGGCATCCTTATGCTCAGTATTACTGCTTTCCCTTTGGGTTGTGGCTGGTTAGAGGTCCCACAGGATGCAGTGCAGGAGATGCTGAGTAAAGCATCACTGCAGCTCAGGCATGATAAAAACTTTCTATTTCCCTTATCACTGAAGGAAAATTTTTTGTACTTCCTATGTTGGAACAGCTCAGATCAATTCATCTTTCTATAGCTGGAGTGATAAAATATATCCTGCCTCTCCCTGCTCAGGGAGAAACAAACCTGAGGTGGATGAGGTTGGATGTTGCGATGGGACATGGACTGGTTTCTGCGCTTGCTGGCCACCTGCATGTCTGAAGGGAGCTGGTGGTTGTGGCTGGTTCCTGGGGTGCTTGCTGGGACCAGTCCTCTTTAAACTGGGGAGCAAAGCCCCAGCACCAGCTCTCCCCTGTGCCCAGCTCCCATGGGTGAGGACTGGACAACGTGGGGTCTTGGGGATGGCAGGCAGGGATGGTCCCAGCATTGCCAATGGGCTGGTGAGCTCATGCCTGGTCAACCAGAGGCTGGCTGAGCCTGGCTGACTCACAGACATGCTCTGGGGGCTGGATGGGAGCCAGTCCTCTTCTGGAAGTTGTTTGGCCGGGCAAATGCCGCTCTGACCCAGACCCGGACCCCGCATGGATGTCAGGCTGTGTCTGCTGGCTCAGCAGTGCCATGGACGCGCCTGCGCTGGCAGGGACAGCGCGGGGACCGCAATAGGAACGTTCAACCTTCACCTAGAATGGATGTGGCTCCCAGGAGGAGGAGGAGGAGGATCCAGCCTTTCACAGTGACCATTGTGGTCTCCAGGGGTGACCAGGGGCTTCTTAGAGTTTCCGCAGCCGTCCCACGCCTTCCCCAGTCCTGCAGAGACAAGTCCAGCCGTGTTGAGGCTCAGCCAGGTCCTGCTGCTTTTGGGAAGCTTCTCCCAAGCTGAATCGGTTCAAAGCATGCCATGAGGCAGCTTATAAACCATGCCCACCCACCCAACCCCAGCAGCTCCTCATTTTTCCCCCCAGGGAGGAGCAGCAGGGGCTCCACATCTGTGCTCACATCCCCTCTGCTTCTCACTGTCACATCTTGAGCCCAAATCTATTCTGCAGAGCGCTGCTTTGTAATGACATCTCCTTAACATGCCTTGGAACAGCTTAAATACTTCTACAGGGATCTCTCACAGCCCACACAGCACCACAGGCCCCCTGATGCCCCACTCTGCTCCCTGCAGGAGCAGGGACATCTCCATGTCTCCATCCCTCTGTCTGCAAACTGGGTGTAGCGCGAGGATAGCATCTTATCCCAGTACATCTCAGAACATGGGGAAGGGAACGGCTCCTAAGCACCTCTGAAAGTGGAAAACCCCGTGCACAAGCCAAGTCTTTGCTGCAAGTATGAGCAAGTAGCTCAATATTTTCCTTTTCCTGCAGGCAGAGATGTGGGACTGAGGCTTTGTGTCACTCTTCCCCAGCTCAGTCACTTTAGACCTTGTTTTCAGTGACTCCCTTTGCCCTGTGGCATCAAGAATTTGAGTATTTAATTTCTGAAGGTACCCATGGAGCTGGTGTTATCCCAAGTGACATCAGCTGGTGCTTTATTTTATGCATCCAAAATTAGTGAACCAGGGGAGAGGAAATGTTGACTCAGCCTTTCAGTGCCTCAGTTTCCCCATAAAATGTGCCTGACGAAGGGCAGCCAGCAGTAAGAACACCCTGTTATTCGTAAGTGGTACTAACCATCCCCTCTGAGACTGGGGAATGTGGGACTAAGAAATACTTTGATTATGGCTCAGCAAATCCCAGTCAAGCAAAAATAACAAGCAACACATGAGAGGTGTTTTGTGGGCTTACGGTGGGGCCGTGAACTCGCAGCCAGACAATAACCAGGAAAAAATTAACCCTGTTTCCCACTCGGCACCTATTTTTGGAGCTGACTGGGACTTGTTCAGCGCTGGGTTTGGGATGGGATACGTCCCTCTGTCCCCGGGACAGGCGATGCTGGGAAAGGGGGGGTTCAAGCGGCTGGATCTTGGCGGCGGGGAAGGTTTGGAATTGCCTGCGTTCCCCCCCCCCGGCAGGGAGCTAAGGGAGCCGGTGCGGGACAGAGCCGCGGGAGATCAAAAGCCCTGTGTGAGCAAAGCAGTGTCCCAGTCCGAATCCCCGCTCCCGCTGTCCCCGTAACCCTGCCCCAAACGCATTAGCTGGGATGGGGAAGGGAGAAGCGGAAAGCAGGAGACCGCATCAATGTTTTTCAGCCTCCGTGCTTTCATCTACCCATTAATTAATTTCCACCTCACCTTCAATCACAGCCTCTGTTAATTACGCCGCTTTAATAACATAGCAGAATTATATAACCGCTGTTGGCCACGGAGGGGAAAAATTTAGCAGGGTTGGGTTGCGTTTTTTCTCTTACCTAAAAAACCATAAAAACCCCAATTAAGGAGAGTCCCGTCCTCTCGCCACAGAGCCGCCAGTCGAGCCGAGATCCGGGGGCGAGGCGAAGGCTTGTCAGCTGCGGGTTCAGGGATTTGCAGGCGGTTGGGAAGAAGAGAGAGTTGCAGCTTACCGAAACTCCCCTGCGCCGAGCCGAGCCGGGCTGTGTGCGAACCTCCCTGCCGCCCAGGCGGCGGGGTCGCTTATATAGCCCGGCGTGTAGCTTAGGGGATGGCAGCGAGCCACGGACCGCGAGCACAAACAGATCGGACGCGCGAGGAAACCGCAGCCTGAATAATCCCTTAATAAGGTGATGGTAAACAAAAACCTGCGGCGAAGCAGCAGCCGCCGGGGCTGGCAGCGGTGCCACGGCGTGGCGGGGCAGGGCACGGAGTGGGTACCACGTCCCAGTGTGGACACCGCATCCTGGCACAGCACCGTCACTGTCAGGGGTTCACCTGGGGCCTGGATCTGAAATAGATGCTGCCGACAGTTCAAGGTGGAGATACAGCAAACAGGCAATGAGTTTTGGGGATGCTTTTTTGGCTTTACGTGGTCTGGGACAAACACGGTGCCCACCCAGCGTTGCCCATGTTGTTCCTCCCTTTCATAGGCACTGGGGTACGGCTCAGCTGGGCACCATTCTCTGCGCTGCCTGCTCACCTCTGCCCCTGCACTGGCTCTAGCAGGGGTCAAATGAGGTTGCTGTGGGGATG